CTCCAAATGCAGATGATAACAAAGTTCAAGCTGCATGGAGCAGCCAGCCACCCCTCCCACTCACTGTCCTTAAATGCAGCTTCTGATGACTAGTACCATTACATGATGTTTCCCCACTGCTCTGTCAGGGTGCAATCTAGAATCAGTTTTCATTGATGCTAAAATCTGAATCTAATCAGTGTGAATATTTCAGCATACCTAGTTCATATGTTTTGTGTGTGTGTATTTGGCTTCATTTATAAAAATATCCTAGCAGTTAGGGTATACTGTCGCATTACTCTCTGTCCTTCATTTGTGGTTTTCCTCATGGTATATTTGTGTTCCAGAATATATGTGAACAAAACACAAATGTCTCATGTAAGATGCATTTATAGCATGCCATTGGACAGTAAGTCTGAATCAGTCTTGTATACAGGGATGAGTAGATGTCATGTTAATTCAAATTTAGATGTTTAGACTGAAAAATGAGACTGTAATATATTTTCTGGTTCAAACAGAAGACTACTTTCATGTTCATCCTTTTTCTTATTTAGTACATTGTATGGATTTTCCCATACTTTTCTGTTTTCTATGTTCTTATATTAAAAAAATAAGTTAAAAATGCCCAAATACAATTCTGTAAAAATGGAGTAAATTCTTGTGACATTGTGACGAAAGTTCTTGCTCTCACAGTTCTTGCTGCTGAGCATAGTTCAAGGATTCCAGACAGCCGCTGTCCCCTTGGGCTTTTCAAAACTCTGTAGGCAGCTTTATTCTCTCATGGGCTATGTCCCAAGTCTGTAGCCAGAGGATCCAACACAGTCTGCCAGCTGGATTTAAAGCCTGACTGGCATCCTCAGCCATTCTTTATCCTGGGGAGATAAGTTTTTTATTCAAATGGAGGACTGTGGCAAACCAGTAAGATCATACTTTAAATTGGTACAAAGCATCAAGATTCTTTCTACTAGTTTACAATTTATGCTATAAAAATTCTATCAAGATTAAACAGGAATTTATTGTAACTTTATCTTGTCCATGAGAAATGTATGTGTCAAACTGGTGCATTTCCCCCCCACTATTTAAATAGTATAGAACTCTTATTTACCCTGTTTATATCTCCCAATAATCTCTTCAATATATGTCCTCAAGATCACTCAGCTGATATTCTTTATGTGTATGCAGAAAGTCTTAATCTGTGTTTACTAATAGCCTTTGCAAAGGCAAACCTTGAGGACCTTCCAGAATGAAGCTCCACACTGGCAAGTGCAGACTCACACTCCTAGTGGTCTGTAGTGTCTAGGATTCACTTCTTCTTAATGGCTATCTTGAGTTTTTTCTGACCACATTAAAAAAACACCCTCTCTTTCTTAACTATATCCTGACAGGTCTGCAGAATATCTCTCTAGTTACTCCTCTTATTAGATCTTACATTAAATTATCCCAGATTAATTACAAAATAAAGATTATGCAGTCACCCTTTCTACCCTCGTGTTAATCTTCCTGCCTGCTTCTCTCTCTGTCCATGCATGCATCTCTAAGTTCCTTATTAGTGAGGGCAAAGTTAATTACTGTTCTGTAATTCGGATAGAAGCAGAATTTTTGGACTTTTTATTTGTCAACAGTCAGCTGGACATATTCAACCAACTTCTAACTTAGTATAGCATTTTCATCTGTTCTCCGGGGTAGGGAATAGCATAGGTTTTATGAGATCAATTATAGTCATATAGGAAATGTTAGGAAGCAAAAGACAGAAAATTTGCAGGAGGCTAGGATTCATTACTTCACTGTGGCAAATAACATGCAATGTGGTATACAATCTTTGGTCTGTTAATGGAAATTTGTCCTGTGTTTTATGTAACAGTGATTCATCTTATGTGGACTGTTGTGTGCTTTATCAGTGTTCTTTGGTAGTGGGGAATTAATCATTTTAACTTTTGGGGCTATGTGAACATTATTCTGCTTTCAAACCTGTCTTTCCTTTGAAAAATGAAGATGTGAACAACTGTGCCAGGCATTCTAGTTAACAGAGTCCAACACTGATATGAACAATTTCTCCTAACCTTAAAGGCTAACATCTCTCTTTATATTTAGAAGCTTGTGGCATATTGCAGGATTTACTCTCCCTCTTGCTGCTACTGTGTGGCACTGTTGGGCCCAGAATCCAGAAAGAATCCCCTATCACCTTCGTATCATCTGTATGAGGATACTCATACATTGTAGTGTTTACTGCACTGCAGTACTCTGTGGATCAGTGGCATTTTGAGTCATACGTCCTTGCTCTTCTGTACAGAAATAACAGCTTCTTTAGACATGTCTACTCCATTTTTGAATACTCACTTTGTCCAGATTTTCTGACCCAGTGTGGATTAAAAATTACTCACCACATTATACAGTCGCTTTTCAATTCAAGTGGGTCTGGTGTGTGCTAAACTATTTGGTGACAGCTGTGGATACCTGTAATTCCAGTATCGTGCTTTCACCAAAATAATGATAATTTCTGGAATTGTTGCTTTTGACACAAGGAGCATTTGAAAAGTGAAAATTAAATTCTGGCTTGATTTCAGTACATTAAATTGTTACTTAATAATGCATCTTCTAAAAAATAAAAAGTTACAGTATGATATCAGTGTTGTCCAACAAAATGCAATCCAGAAAGAGCTCAAGTAGAATAAAGTTTGAAAATGAGAGGAGTGGAATCATGCTATTTTATGTAAAAGAAAAAAAAACCTCCAAGGCAGAAAGCTCAGGAACGTGTACTTGTTGCCTTTTATAAGTCCCTCAGAATTAAAGGCTGGCAAACAGGGGCACTGAATGGCAAGAAATGAAGAGCAAGAAAATGCCACTGCTAATAAGGAAGTCCACAAGAGATATTGAGATGGAGGACAATCTTATTTTCATATTTTTTGCCAATCTGCACTTTGACACTTAACAACTATATTGTAGCAGGATGTTAAGGCATGGATGAATAGTTTGTGTATTTGTGTCATGTATTAGGCATTCAGAAGAGAGTTTGCCATTGGCAGATGCTAGAAAGAACTATCTCTACACTATCTGGCTTATTTACAGGTAGAAAACATTTAATATTTGTGTTCTTTGTCCAGTCCTGCTGCTACCTGTAAACATTTTCATCTTCAGAATGCTACCCCTTCATAATTTCCAAATGTGGGAAATTGACTGGATCAGTAAAAAACGGGTTTGTGTTTTGAGCTGTGCCTCTTTTAAGTGTCAAAACAGAAGTGAAAATGGAGTGGCTATATGCAAACAGTAAAAATATTCTTTATAAAAGGTAAAAAATTAACAGGCATTACTGAGAAACAACTAAACCAGTTGTCATATATCAGATAATGTCATTTCACAGAACTTGAAGACAAAGAGTATAATTTTTCTGGAAGTGAGGTAGTGTAGTTACACTGTGGCTGTTTCAGTGGAGAATAGGAAAGAAAAAGACAAGAGGAATTTGGCTTGTCTTCTGCTAAAGCCTTTGTGTAATTCATTAAGCAATCCTAATCCAAAATGATAGTCTAGGGCATTTGCTAATGTTTTCATGACCCAGTGAAAACATAAAGAGATACTAATGCAGCTGCTCATTTACTCCCCTGTTAATACCCAACTGGATTTGGCTTCATTGAGTTATTAAAGACGCTGAGCATTCCTCCCATGGTGACATGTTTCTCTCAGTTTTGCTTACATGCTTTCCAGCCAGTCTGGGACTGTGGTTTCACTTGAAGCAACACCCTATTCTAACCACTCCTGCAAAGACTGTATTAAAACTGCAGACTTCTTCCACAGAGTCCATAAAAATCCACGCCTCTATTACAAAAGGAATAAAAGAGATGTGAATAAAAATGGTTACACAGATATTAAGTATTCTGATAATTTTTAATATTGGGGAGTTTTGTCCTTACAGACTGATTGTACAGAAGTACAGATTGCATGTACTGCTTTTTTAGTGGGTTTTTGCAATACTTGCAAACAATTTTTGTCTTGTGGACAGTATATAAATTGTAAGAATGATGTTGTAGCATCTCAGACACAAATCATATTTCTCCTTTTATCAGCCTTTTTCTAATTAGCTTTTCAAGGACTTGAAATCCATTGTTAAATACTCATATATTGCACTTAAACTTAAATAATATTAAAACAGCACAAAAGCAATAGTAGTTTCTGTGAGAAGCTGCAACTTGTAATTCATCATGATAAATTCACCACAGAAAAGTATAGGAAAATTAAAAACAGAGTCATATTGGATTTTTGTCTTTGGAAAATTTATTTTTACCTCAATTGCTGTCATATACTAGGTAAGATAACTGAAACCTGCAAGTTGTCCCTGTCCCCACGTTTTGACTCTATATCCTCAATGCTACAGATGCTACTCTTAAGCCCTTCAGTCTACTTGTATTTAGAATACTATATCTTTTTAAAACCGTTTCAGGTGGCAGGTTTCGGCACTGAAGAGAAGGAACTCCGCTTTCGCTTTCTCCCTTTTCCCCTACAATGCGTCATCCTGGCACCTTGCCCAGATGTCAGCCCTGGTGTAGGTGAGGTTGCCACAGCAACAGCACACACTTGGTCACACCCCCTATAGCTACAGAAGTCTCAGTCAGTTTGAAAGTTTTACTAGGTTTTCATTCATCTGCAATGCACTGCCCAGCCATCTGCGTTTAGTCACCCATCCAGTGCTCACAAGCCTGCTGGTAAATGGAGTAATTTTTGGAACTTTCACCTCCATCTTTTGGGATGAAATCTCTCAAGATTAGTCCTGGGTGGTCAGTCAGCTGCCCAACCTGCAATGAAGAAACCAGCTGGTCTGTCAGTCATCCCATAGACATGCCAGGCAGTTGGGCAATAACTAAGTTCAAATTTAATTTTCATAGAATGTGTAAAGCAATAGTACTGTGTAATTGCAGAAGAATAAAACTGGAGTTACCGACAGAGCATTTTAAAAGCCGATTTTCTTCCTGTTGAAGCAGCAGGATAAGTTTTTGGTAATACCTAACTCACAATTCTGCTTATTTTTTCAGACATGGAGATGACTTGATTGTGACGCCGTTTGCTCAGGTAGGCACAATTTTGCTATATTTCTCACATGATCTTGTAATTTAAAGACTAAATGGCCAAACTAGTTGTTTTCTATCATTATTATTGTATAAGATATGTTTGCTTGAAACAAGAAAAATGTCTAAACAGAAAGGTGTAAACTTCCCACTCTCATTACTTACACCTCTCTTTCTTAAAGCTTTTTGGTTATCTGAAAATTGAAGTGCAACAGCACAATAAACACCTTTGATCTCTCTTCAAATACTGTAACAGGCAGTCATAATGAAGACAAATCTCTGCTTTCTGTTATTCTATTACTTTTTATAATTACAATTTCTTCATTTGGTCATATTTTATGCATTAAATAAAATGTGATTTCTAGACATAAGTTTTACCTAGAATACTTATGTTCTTTTGCAAAACCATGTGTTTGGTTTTTCTATTCAGAGTCTGTTTTATAAAATATCACCTCAAAATTCTTTATAATTCAGATCAAGTCTTCACAATTTTTCACAATAGAGCTGTCTTATCATGTATGAAAAGTTAATATTGATATTCTTTGAACTCATGATGATAGATTTTACTCTGAAATAGATAGGAATGAAAATCAATTCAGTGTAATTACAAAGTCATATGTGATTGTAGGTGAATGGAAAAAGAAAGGTTAAGTCACATAGCAGTCTCAAATAACAATAAAATGTGCAACTTTAGTCTCAATATGCAGGTTGCTCTGGTCTAATAATAAGCTGTTAAAAGAATATTTATTTAATAGTTTATTAGATATTTAATTATATTGTAAGCAGATACAGTGTTTATAAAACTGGGAGCAAGTTCTTAATATGAATAATACCATCATCTTTTATTAGCAGAGAAAACATTAAGCAAGGGCATTTTATAAAAATACTCTGAAGTCTCTGAAATATTAAATATACTTAAACAATAATGGAAGAGAAGAAATTACAGGAAAAAAAATTAAAAAAAGTCAAACAACTTCTGGTTTTATTTCCTTAGGAAACTGAAAACCTAACTTTTAAGCACAGAAAAAAATATAAATTTTATGATGCTCAAGCAATCCAGTAATATTTACTATCGTTCCTGTTCATTGTAATCTGATTTTTGTTTGCAAATTGTGCCACGTAGTTTCCCTAGAACACAGTTTTCCTAGGTTCTAGCTTCCCTAGAAAACAGCAAATAGTACACCTCATTTATGGATATCCTTTTCCTGGGAACAAAACACCCTTTCTTTTAAGGGCAGTTCTGTATTCTTGTTGGCATTAATGGATGTGGTTCAGCAAATAGAGCAAAAGCAGTTGAATGCTATGGCTACTTTCACCAAGGTACTGTAATTGATTGTGAGCTTTTCCAGTGCAAAACCCTGTTAGCAGTGATTTAAGTCAACTTGGTTTTATTTCTGTGGAACAAGAGAAAAAGCACTTACAGGGTGAATGATCATGTCACATTCCCTGACACAGGAGAAACTGAGATGCAGTTGAGAGAGTGTGCCTAATAGAGGGGAAGTGACATCTGACTAGACTCTTAGGAAAAACATCACCTTTATCTAAAAAGTATAGAATATGCAAAATCTCATCTCCAAGTGGGGCCTGATGACAGAAGAAGCACTGAGCCCATCCCTCTGAGTTACATTAGCAGTGTTAGGACCTCACTCAGGACTTCAGACACTGGATGCCATCTCCCAGTACAATGTCCACACGTCCCAGTACATGTCCACATCATAAAAACTACCACTTTAATGTCTTCCTAAAGCAATATTTTAACATGTAAGTGCATTTTTTGTGTGCATCACAGTGTGAGGAACACATTTTCAAGTTATTTCAAACCATCTGTATTTTCTTCACTTGATCAGGAAGCTTATTTCATTTGATCATGAGCCACCTGGTGGTAATAATCCTAGTTTAGCATTTGAGTTTCTTTTCAGCATATCACCATGGTAATGCAGCTGCATTTTCTATGTGGAGGCAGAGTGGCATACTGTGTCCCCCACATAGAAACTGGTCCCAGGACGTGATAATTTACTATATTTACTAGAATGGAATTTTTAAAGCAAAAATTAAAAAAAAAAATTATCACAAGGATATTGTCAGTTGCATTTCCCTATATTCTAATATACAGCAACTGCTGTAATTTAATTATTCACAGAATTTCACTTTACAAAATAATTTGAGGGATTTGAAACTTAAGGAAAAAATCTGTAGGTTTTTAATTACCAAAAAAAAGTTCAATATTTAAAATTTGTTTGCAACTGTTTATATATAACTTGATTTTGAAAATATTAATATTTACTTAGAGATTAAGCCTAAAGCAGTTTGCACGTGATGGGTTGCTTTATGCCCACAAATGTAACTCTAGAAATACTAAGCACAAGTAGAACCTCTGTGGGCAGCATTAACTGTCACTTAAAGAAAATTGTAGTGGAAAATTGAAATATTATTTTATGCGCTTCTAAGATAATACACTTATAAATATTAATACCTTTATACAAGAAATCAAGTTGTTTAGATCCATTGTAGCCAATGACCAACCTTTTTGTTTTCACTTACACATTTATTGCAATGTATGTGGGGGTGGCTTGTACTTGCAGAAACTGTCAATATATGTGCATTTATAACCATAGAATCATAGAATTGTTTATGTTGGAAAGGATGTCCAGGATCATCAAGTCCAACTGTTAACCTAAAACTGCCAGGTCCACCAAACCATGTCCCCTAGCACCACATCTACATGTTTTTTGAATGCTTCCAAGGATGGTGATTCCACCACTTCCCTGGGCAGGCTGTTCCAATGCAGACCAACCTTTCAGTGAATAAATTTTTCATAACATCCAATCTAAACTTCCCTTGGTGGAACTTGAGGCCATTTCATCTCAGTCATGGGAGACTTCAACCTGCCATATGTCTGCTGGAAACTCCACACACATAAAGGAGGCAGTCTAGGATGTTCCTGGAGTGTGTGGAAAATAACTTCCTGTTGCAGCTGGTAAGTGAGCCTACCAGGGGCGGTGCCTTGCTAGACCTGCTGTTTACAAACACAGAAGGGCTGGTAGGAGATGTGGTGGTCAGAGGCTGTCTGGGGCGCAGTGACCATGATATAATAGAGTTTTCACTACTCAGTGAATAAAGGAGTGGTGTCAACAAAACCTCTACCCTGGAGAGTTTACACTGGTCCGGAGAGTCCCTTGGGAATCAGCCCTTAAAAACAAAGAGGTCCAGGAAGACTGAACATACTTTAAGAGAGAATTCTTAAAGGCACAGGAGCAGACTGTCCCTTTGTCTCAAAAGACAAGTCGTGAGGGAAGACGATAGGCCTTGGCTGAGCAGGGAGATTTTGCAGGAACTCATGGAAAAAAAGAGGATGTCTCATCTTTGGAAAAAGGGACAGGCAGCTCAGGAAGTGGTTAAAGATGTCATTAGTTCATCTAGAGGGGGCCCCCTGGTGGTCTAGTGGTTAGGATGCGGCGCTCTCACCACTGCAGCCCGGGTTCAATTCCCGGTCAGGGAACTCCTCCGGGCAGATGGAGCTCGTCAGCCCTGTAAGGCCATCCATCTAAGAGAAGGTCACTCTAAACAAACCCACGTCCTGAGGACCTCACTGCCACTGTCCAAGCTTCCTCGGCCCCAGCAGATGAACCTCAGGATTAAAGGGTGGGCTCAGTTCAGCGCACACTGTGTCTCACCTAAAAAATCCACTACGCAGGCTCGAAGGGTAAAGACCTTTCCCAAATCTTCGCTCACGAAGACTGGCCATGATGAGTTCATCTAGAAAGAAAATCAAAAAGGCAAAAGCTCAGTTAGAACTTATTCTGGCCACTTCTGCAAAGGATAATAAAAAGTGCTTTTATAAATACATTAATAACAAAAGGAGGGTCAAGGAAAACCTCCATTCTTTATTGTATGTGATGGGGAATATTGTCACCAAAGATGAGGTACTTAAATGACACCTTTGCCTCAGTCTTCAATGGTAAGACAAGTGATCCTCAGGGCAACCAGCCCCCTGAAAAGGTGGATGGGGACAGGGAGCAGAGTAGACCCTCTGTAATCCAGGAGGAAGCAGTTAGTGACCTGCTGTGCCACTGAGACACTCACAAGGGGGATCAAATGGGATCCATCATAGGGTGATGAGGGAGCTGGCAGAAGAGCTGGCCAAGCCACTCTCCATCATTTATCATCAGTCCTGGCTGAGCAGAGAGGTCTCAGATGAGTGGAGGGTGGTCAATGTGACGGCCATCCAAAAGAAGAGTTGGAAGGAGGATCCAGGGAACTATAGGCTTATCATCCTGACCTTGGTGTCTGGAAAGGTTATGGAGTAGATTATTGAGTGCCATCATGTGCCATGTACAGGACAACCAGGAGATCAGACCCAGCTGTAAGGGTTTAGGAAAGGCAGGTCCTGCCTGACAAACTTGATCTCCTTTGATGACCAGGTGACCCACCTAGTGGATGGAAGGAAAGGCTGTGGATGCTGTCTACCTGGATTTCAGCAAAGCCTTTGACACCCAGCAGCATTCTCTTGGAAAAGCTGGCATCGCATGGCTTGGACAGGTGCACTCTTCCCTGTGTTAAGGACTGTTGGAATGGCTGGGTCCAGAGAGTGATGGTGAACAGAGGTACATCCAGTTGGCAGCCGGTCACTAGTGGTGTCCCCCAGGGATCAGTGTTGGGCCTAGTTCTATTCAATATCTTTACTGATGATTTGGGTGAAGGGATCAAGTCTACCCTTAGTAAATTCACAGATGACACCAAGTTGGGTGGGAGTGTTTATCTGCTGAAGGGCAGGAAGGCTCTGCAGAGGCATCTGGACGGGCTGGATCAATGGACCAAGGCCAATGGTATGAGGTTCAACAAGGCCAAGTGCTGGGTTCTACATTTGGGTCACAACAACCCCAGGTAGCACTGCAAGCTGGGGACAGAGTGTCTGGAAAGTAAAAGCAAAAAAGGACCTGAGGGTACTGGTAAACATGAGCCGATAGTGTGCCCAGATGGCCAAGAAAGCCAATGGCATCCTGATTTTTGCCCTATACTGGCACTGGTGAGGCCACACCTTGAGTACTGTGTCCAGTTCTGGGCTGCTCAATATAGGAAGGATATTGAGGTGCTGGAGGAGGTCCAGAGAAGGGTAAGGGAGCTGGTGAAGGGCCTGGAGCACAAGTCCTGTGAGGAGAGGCTGAGGGAGCTGGGGTTATTTATCCTGGAGAAGAGGAGGCTCAGGGGTGACCTTATCACTCTCTACAGCTACCTGAAAGGAGGTTGTGGCCGGGGGTGTTGGCCTCTTTTCCCATGCAACTAGCGATGGATGAGAGGACATAGTCTTAAGCTGCACCAGGGGAGGCTTAGGTTGGACATTAGGAGGAATTTCTTCATGGAAAGGGTGATTAGACATTGGAATGGACTGCCCAGGGAAGTGGTGCAGTCACTGTCCTTTCAGGTGTTTAAGAGAAGACTGGACATGGCGATTAGTTGCATGCTCTAATTGACAAGGTGGTGATCAGTCAAAGGTTGGACTTGATGATCTCAAAGGTCTTTTCCAACGTAATTAATTTTGTGAGTCTGTGATTCTGTGATTCTGTGATCTTGTTCTATCACTTGTTACCTGGGAGAAAAGACTGACCTGCACCTGTCTACAACTCCTTTCAGGTAGTTGTAGAGAGTGATAATTTTTTTATGTCACTGTTCCCTGGGAATGCAAATCTGATGGCATATATTTTTATTCCTTGCTGAATGTAAAATATGTAACTGTGCCTCCTTTTCTCCAGACTAAACAACTCCAACTCCCTTAGCCTCTCCTTGTAAGACTTGTGTTCCATTAATGCTATAAGCATCTAGGATGCTGGGCAGGTACTGGACATTTCACTCCTGGACCTAAAGAATAAAGAGGAGATACAAAACAACAGTCAAGACTCTGCTTTCTGAAAAAAGGACAGATTCATATTATTTCAGACATTAGAAAATTCTGGTTATGTGTACACATAGAGAGACACCCTTGCAGCCTGTCTGGGACCTGAGCATGGGTCCAGCAAGCCTCGTTAGCCTCCACTCATAACTGGCCTTGAGCAACCTTGCAGCTCTGACCACTTCTTTTCTCGGTGCCCCTGCTGTTTAATGTCCTGTTATTTCAGATCCAAAACATACCTAAGCTAGCTTCATGTTTTCAGATGGCAATGTGTCTAGCCTACTAACCTGTCTGAAACTGCTCTGTGCAGCAAGTACAGAGCCATTCATTGCCATTCAGAACAAGCAGATCGGAGAAGCATGGTTATACCTGAGGTCACTCTCTGAGGAGTCACTTCATTACCTTAATTATGTGCTTCCAATTCTCAGTGCACCTGCATATGCAGCCAGTTTGAGTCCAACAGGGTTTATTGAGTAGGAACTTGAAGCCAGGAAAACTGACTATATTTTTTCATGCCCTGGAACAGCTCTGGAAGCCACATAGATACCTTTCTCTGAAAATACTAGGACACACAAACCATCTCAGCATCCTGACACATGTAAACTGAACCCAGGCAGATGGACAAAAGAGAAGTAAAAATGGACTGCAGTCACTAAAATGAGCCTCTTAATAGCCAAACTTCTTCTTTATGCTTTCCTTTTCCTTCTACCTTCAACTCATATTTTCCTTTTACAATATTTTCATGCTTCAGTACTTTTTCACTGTATTTGAAGTATTTGGTTTTGGATCTCTGAACTCCAAGATCATCTTTCACCTGCCCAGTTCATGCCTGATTTCCATCTGTCTACATGCAACATCTAAATACAATATTTTTTAATGTCACTGTTCCCTGGGAATGCAAATCTGATGGCATATATTTTTATTCCTTGCTGAATGTAGAATATGTAACTGTGCCTCCTGATCTTTGGAAAGAAAAACATAATGAAATTAATACCATCTAGTTAAACAAATGTATTTTTATTATCTCATTTGGTAATTACTTACTATAGCTTGAACACTGCCAGTTATTATTAACTTCTGAATATTTTCTGTTACAGGCTTTCATTAATTTATTCTTTTCAGTCTCCCATCTCCTTCCTATCTCCTATATAAATTTAAGGTGCTATGAAAAGAGGGTTGTGTCCTCCTCAAATCAGACCTCTAAAACCCAAATTCCCATTCCTGCTTTCATTATCCCTCTGGTGAGTTCACCAGCCCAGTCTGGGCTGGGAAACAAAAATGGGCAACTTCTGCAGACACACCAGTGGTTAGTGTGTCTGCTTCCTCCCAGTTCCAGCATGGTTCCAAAGAACTCATGGTTCCTGTCTGACATCAACTGAACTAGCTCTCTCTTGTTAGAGAGGTTCATCTTATTATGCTTATGTGGTACAAAATTTATTGCATTTATCTATCTGCCTTCAGAAGAGAGTGCCTGTGCCACTTATAACAAGAAGACACTCCTCTACTGCATCTACTATATGATATCTTGCATGAAATTAAGTCCAGAAAGGAAGTAGTTTTTCTTTTCCCAATGTGTAAAGTTTGTAAGAACTTTACAGTGCAGCCATTTTCCCTTCCTCTTTTTCTGGTCTTCTGCACTAAGTCCCCAAATCAACTGTGCATCTTAAAGGAGACACATATATTTTTCCTGGCAGTCTAGACAATCTTATTCCCTTTGGAGTTTGTGGGGACTGAATGGCAAATGGAAGATTCTCTAATTATTTCTTATGCATGAAGTATGAGGCTTGAAAGGGGTAAGATCTTCCAAACTCAAACACTTTCATGGTAATTTTAAAGAAATAAGTAGTATTCTAAAATGAAAAACTTTCCTCCTTCTCAAGTAAGCTTGCCTTTATCAAACAATGAGTTGTTTATGGGGAAAAAAAAAGAAATAAACTATGCTCTCCTATTACAGACATGTTATTGTTAAATAATGGTCAAAGGCTGCAGACTAACCAACCCTGGAAACCTTTTACAGTTGTTTTGCAATGCCCTTTCCTTTTTCGTTCAGCACAGTGGAGCAGAGAGAAATCAGTCTCACTTGTGCAGACATTTATACTGAAATCACTTTGTCTGTTCCAGGTGCTGGCCAGCCTGCGTACTGTACGGAATAACTTTGCTGCATTAACCAATTTACAAGATCGGGCACCCAGCAAGTGAGTGTCATTTTTTGGCCACTGAAATTTTTGCAGTGATACTTTTTAATGTAAACTGAAAATGATGATTAGATGTTACAGATTTCAGCCTGTGCCACTGAACCTGCATAAAACGTGCATGAGTAATAGCTTATTAATCCCTTGAAGATGTTATTCTTGGTAGCTGAGACAAAAGCCCCCTTGCCTTCTAACTGATCTTGCATTGCTGTCCTCACATAAACTTGGAGTGGTTTTGTGCAACTGTATGATTTTCAATAAATTGGTCATATGTCAAAGATCATTCAAAGATGATTCAGGCACAGTCTGAGTCTTGCAAATGATCCTGAGTAAGCAGACAGCTTCAGTCAGTGAGAGCTGCTTGCATGATCTGAACCTAGAACTCTGCCTAACTCATCCAAGATAGTGACATCCCACTCATGCAGAGTAATTCATAATTATAAATGAGGCATTATAAATATGATCTTTCTCCAGTCATGTTACAGAGTCACAGTGAACATGAATGTTACCTACACTGGCAAATTTCATAGTGCAGTCATTTCTCTCACCCAAAATGTGCATCTCTAGAGCTTAGAAGTAATTAGCATTCCAAAGACAGTTGCCTACCATTGCATATGCAATGCTACCAGAAGGTATTTCCATGTCTCTTTGTTGGAATATGCAGACCTTAGGTGTTCCCTGCTTTCACTCATCCATAACTCACATCCCTATGCAGCTGTGTCAGTCCAATATCTTATAGCGTTCTTCAGTGGGCAAAACATTCCACTGAACTGTTTGCCTTAAAGCTTATTGTGAAACGTAGATGCAAAAAAATGTGTGAAATGTACAGAAAAAATAATAGAGTGAAAAATAATTAAAAGAAACATTTCAAGTCAGAGAATATGGGAAGCACAAGACTTGTTAGAATAATGCTAACTATGTATATAAATCATATTTTAAACTAGGTAGAAGCTCTATGTATGATTCGGCAGGCTTTTAATAAACTTCTAAGTTCCTAAAATATTCCTATCTTAGAGTTCCCAATCTGCAGAGAGGTTTCAGAGAGGTCAGTTAGGAATTCTCTTCTACACCAGAAAGAAATATCTGCTGTAAATGAACTTTGGCAATGCCAGCGTAGTCCATTCCAAATTAATTTCCCAAGGTTTTTTTTCCCAATATTTTATTTCCCAATATTTTCTATTATATTGTTCAAGGATTTAGTCATCTGTGAGTTTATCAGGCTTAGACCTTTTTTATTTTCTTTTCAATAGACGATCACCAATGTGTAACCAACCATCTATTAACAAAGCAACTATAACAGGTAAGAAGAATTTATTTATAAAACCGTCTCACTGAACACTGTATTTTATAAAAATAACCTTATATTGTCTCCTTGTATATCTCCTTATATCTTTTTTATTAAAGAGGTTTTGAGTCATGTCATGACTCAAATTGGTGACTTTTAGTGTTCTATCATGTTAGCTTTTGATTTCTGTCTTATTAACCTGGTTTTAAGTTCTTTCCCAATTCTTTTTTCTTATATAGCAGTGTGTGACTGTTTCATGATTACATTCTTTAGTACCTTCTTGTAATGAAACCTAGTAGAAAAAACTGGTATGAGGAATGTATCGATCTTTCTTTTTGGGATATAGAGTTCTGTAGCTATAAAGGGGCAAAGTCTTTGCATTACAAGCACTTAGGCAATGAGAAGAAATTATCAAAACTGATTTTTCTGATTTAGGATGGTAAATTCTATTTCTATAACATTTGTAGTTAAGACAAAAAAGTAATTTCCTTTTAAAAGACTATTATTTCTAAGGAAACATTAACTAGCACTGTAAATTATGTGAATACTTTGGAAAATTCTACCCTACAGCACTTTTGCTTATTTTTATGGCAACTTGGTCTTGGTCATCTTTATGGGAATACAGTTTATTTGACCCCATATTTTTTGCATCATGTTAGTTCACATGTTCTTACACTTAGTAATTTTCCAGGTAGTTACTTTCTCTATCATGTTCTGTCAGAGTGAAAGAGCATTTGCTTTGCCTCTTGATGAAAGTATAAAGACAGTTACTAAACAGGCAAATTATCATTTAAACCAAAGCCAGAAACATAATTTTCCATAATTTTCAAAATACCTTTTGCCTTTTTAATTATATGATAGCTTTGTAATTCAAGGAAGAAATGCTACTTCCCCAGTTTTGAGAAGAAGCGTGCCTTTATAATGTTAAATAGTTTCTGTCTTTAGGCTCTGAAATATGTTAAAATGGATGGTGTTTTTCAGCTAACCTACCACAATATCCATATTTACCTCAAAAGAACACAATCGTGGCAGTTCTGTACAGCTTTATTCTCCTAGGAACTAATCATGCAACATGACCATTTATGTATAGGGCTTAACAGGAAACAGAAGGTTAAGTCTTCAAATCTATAAACAGAAAGGCATCCTTGTTTAAGAATGTTCTGCAATCACACTTAAATTCATGTAAATTAAATAAATAAATGGAAAGAAGATAGATAGATATAAATAAATTATAATCACAATCCTTTGTTAATATATTCCTTTAAGAGGTAATTGGTTTCAAATTGCTCTCCATAAGCCATTACTTGAAAATACTCCATACTCGAAATAGGACTCCTTCTTTGGTTTCAAGGGACTAACTTTAGAAAGCCCATTACACAGTAAAATTTGTGACAATAAATAAATACAATATCCACAAGAGCAGATGTGCATACATGTGAACACACAGCGGGCCTACCTCACATGCTCTCCCACAGTCACTTGCCTGAGGTCAGCTTCTTTTCTCCAGCAGGAGAAGCTGCTCAGACAGCAAGACCAAGGATAGTCTCTGTTGGAAGATGCTGTTGCTCTTTTTAAATTCTCCCTGATCTGAAGGTTTCCATTCAATTAATCCTTAGAGGATATTTACATATCATCCAAAATTTTAATGTTTAGAAGGAAGGTGGTACAGTAAGGGCTGCAATTAGAAAATGCTTCTTTGCCAATAAATTCAAAGGAAGCAAGAAAAGGCAAAGAATACTAAGGATAATTTAATCTAATTTAGTTTTATCTGATTTCTCAGAGATGCTGCTGGAATTGCTGTGCCCAAATTATGCATTGGACTGGATGAGCTGGGGTTCTGTGCATTGGTGGATATAAGTGGTTGAAAGACTTTAACGATAAAGAAAAAATATTAAGCCAGTATAAAGCACGAAAATGGCTACAATTCATTCTGGAGACTGAGGCTGGATACTATTTTGCATGAATAGGTTTGCCTACTCTTAGTTACAGCCTGGTTTTGGTATTTCCATAGCAACAAAGTTCATGGCATAGGCACAGAAGTATGCATGGTTATGTCCTTGGGGCATACAAAATCCTAGTAAAACACCTTGCATTACAGCACTATGTTAAGTATGAAGATATATTGTAAACACTTTTCCTGCTCTTCACAGAATATTTGAAAACCCTTTCAGACACTACTAAGCTTTTTCAATGGGGAATGTTCAAAATGTAGCTTATGCAGATCCTTCCTGCTGAGAAATCCTCCTGGTTGTGCTGTTTTCAGAGTTTGTGTCATGGAAAACCCAGAACAATACACTAGACAGGTAGAGCCTTATCACATCATCCAGACAGCTCAGCTAGCAATCTCATTGGGAACTGATCACCAGTGTAACAAACTAGGTAACAAACAGAGTCACTAAACTATATAAAACATAAACCAGAAAACAGACACTTAAGATGGAGATTTTATGTTACTAAGCTTCCTGGAAGACATGTCTTTGGGAAGACTCTGTCTGAGGAAACGAATGATCACAGGAGGGAACTACTGCAGAAGATATGGGGGAAACAACAAGAGAAATATGAAAAGGAATTTGGTAAAGCTAAGTGACTAAAATAGTAAGAGCAAAATTCCTATTTTAAGAATTCACCCAGAGGCACAAATTTGTTGACAAAATACCTTAGCAAAAAATGAAGAAACTGTCAAATTGAGAAGTCAGGTGGCACAGGAATCATATGTTCAAATTCTTAGGAGCAACAGCAACCATGGTGGCCTTAAAATTTACAGTGATTTTTTAATGTAAATATGTAGAAGTTGATGATCAAAATAAAATCTATACAATATATCCACATGAATGCATTTTGTAGCTTTATTGATAGAAGCTAATGAATATCAATGACATACTTGAAATTCAGTATCAGCCAATTGTGCTATACCATACTGAGTACTCCTTTTGCAGACAGATTGGGGGTGAAATGGGAGCTTTTTCTGTAACAACAGACCTTTTAGATTGTACTTTTCGTACTTGCTTTAGACTCTAGGCTGTAAATATCTATTTTATCTATAGTCAGTGTGAATAAGAGCACATGAAAACTTACTTCTGTTAGATGTTGTCTTCAAAGGGAGATGAATTCCTCCCTAAAAGTGCCATCTCTCTCCCATGACTGAGACCAGCCTGGGATAACTCTGTTTGCTATACAGTACTTCCATGTTTGGTGTTCTGTACTTCCACTAGAAGAGAGGTTCCTCTCACTATGAATCATATTTTCTGGGCCGTGACCAAGAGGTCACTTCTGTTTCATTTCAAGTGGACATAGTTCTCTTAACACAACTAGTAAAATATAAATGTTTTGTTTTCAAAAAAAATGAAACTATCTGTGACTCAAGGATTGAACTTGCAGGTTTTATACTACAATTCTGTCCTCTCATCCAGATCACACTTTCTGAGTTTGCCTTTGAGGAGATTGTGAGAGACAGTGTTGAAAGACTTGCTGAAGCTGAGTTAGAAAATATTCACTGCTCTCTCCTCATCCATTCAGGTAGTTGTTTCATTGTAGATGGCAATCGGGTTGGTCAAGCATGATTTACCTTTAGTCAATCCATGCTGCCTACTCCTGATCACCTTCTTGTCACCCATGTGGCTAGATGGCTTCTAGAAGGAGTAGCTCCAGGGATTGAGGTGAGGCTGACTGGCTGGTAGTTCCCTCAGTCCTCCTTCTTACCCTGTTTGCAGATAGGGGTGATATTTGCTTTCTTCCCATCCTCAGGCACCTCTCCTGATTGCCATGACCTTTCAAAAGTGATCATGAGCAGCTTCACTATGGTTTCCAACAGCACTCATGGATGCATCCTGTCAGGGCATATGGACTTGTGGATGTCAAATTTGCCTAGGTGTTCTCCAACCCAATCCTCCTTGGCCAAGAGAGGATTCTTTTACCCAGATCTCCTGGGTCAGAGATGCCTGAGGGCCGGTATTGTCAGTGAAGACTGATGCAAAGAAGGCATTCAGTAACTCTGTCTTCTCTGCATTGTCTGTTACCAGGGCCCCCCTCCATTTAGTACCAAAGTAGTCTTTGTTTTCATTTTGTTATTGATGTATTTGAAAAAGTCATGTTTGGGATTCTGCCATAGCACAACAAGGAATAAAGTAAACATGAGAACAGGAGTGGACAAAAAAATCAAAACCATACCAAACCAACAAATAAGCAAACAAGAAAACCCCAAACAAAACCAAAACCAAACCAAACAAAATGTCCAACAACAACAGCAACAACAAAAGTATTCCTATGGTAAACTGCAATGTCAAACCTTTTTGGCAGAGGTGATGTAAAATGCCTGAAATCCTCATTCAAATTTATTGATTGAAGGGTGCTTTCCTGAAGCACTGGAGAAACCTGACAGCCTATTTTGAAAGAGGGATTTGTTTGATAAATTGGCCTTTGTTCTTTGTGTAGTATGTTGAGTGATATGTAAATGTTCTGTTCCTTGTACTTTTGCTTATACCCATACACCTATGGATATTTTGAATGCATTTAACTCACTTCAGTCAATTTTTTTTATTTCACTGTAAATAGCACAGACACATTCTCAAGTGTGAATGTGATTTGTAGCATTTTCACCTAATTCAGACAGTGGTAGATGCCATCTGTTATTTGAGAAGTTAGCACATATGTATCTGCAGACTCACAGCAGGTTAACAGTATACATCACCAGTGGTTGAATTCAAAATTTGCAAGTGCTTATATGCACAGAAATCACTGGCACACACATGCCAGTACACTTCAGTTTACTTCCTAGGGGACTTTGTGTAATACTCACATTTAGGACCAGAATTCTCACTAAGAGTCAGTTAAATGTGCCCTTTTAACTTCTCCGAATGCTTTTAAAATTCCCTTTCTTTGTAAATTGCATGAAGACATCAATATTCATTACAACTGTTTCCTCAAATGGACCCAAACATAACATTCTTTTGTTTAGTGTGGATTTTAATATGTGAAGAGTAGTAGAACAAGAGAGAAGAATTGACAAACTGGATAAA